ACTTCGCAAGGCTATATTATCCGCATTTTACAACATTTCGCAATGAAACTTTGGAATATTACTAATTTTGTGATGCTCTTTCAAGCTGTGATAAAATTCTTGTCTAGACTTGTTGAGATCTAAATTTTAGTCAAAAGGTGAAAGGTCCATTCAAAGACTTTCAAAGATTTTTTCTGCCTATTTTCAAAGACTTTTCAAAGCTCTTTGAGAGCAATCAGCTGTCGAAAAATTGCGAGTGTAAGCCTGGACGCCTGGTGCAAGCACCATTTTTACACAGTAATTAGTCCAGTCAAATCACATCCTAAAATGCGCCTTTTTGTCGATATTCGCGAAAATCTTGCTTCAATCAATCTAATTTATTACTAAAGAATTTAAAGACTTTTAAAGACTTTCTTCGCTTTTCCACACAATTCAAAGACTTTTCAAAGACCTTAAAGACCTGCATTCAAATTTAAAGACTTTCAAGGATTTCAAAGACCGCTACTATAACCCTGTTATTCTTACAGTGCAGAGTTCAACGAAAAATAATAATTTGGGCCAGTTGTTCAAAGCTGGGTTAGCTTAACCCTAGGTTAACCTAAAATTCAACGCAAATTTTCCAACACTTTGTTTATAAATTCGGAAATATGTCTTCAAAGATCTTGTCTGAATCAGTAGGAGTTTTCTTCTCTGAAGTTTTGAAATAAACAGACATGCAGACATACATAAACTAAAACAGCAGGTTAAATTTTAACGGCGAGGGTTAGCGCTAATCCATGAGCTTTGAACAACCAGCCCTGGTTTCTAGACCGTTGACTCGATAGCTCAACGTCTATAGAGACCCGACGATGCGAGTTGGAATCCAGCCAGAGACAACGAATATTCCGACGTTCTGTGCAGTGTCAGAATAATATATGAAACTTTTCATGTCTTTGAGAATGGTTCTGAAATAATATTGGACCTACTTTGTTTTACTTTCTTTTTTCCTCGGTGTGGGAAGCAGTGGTGTTGATGAACCATCCACCGTGTCCACGTCAACTAACTCATCTTCATGTCTGCTAGATAACTGATCTTGAGGAGGAATTATACCCATAGCACGGTATAAACTACGCATTTTTTCCTGGAAAATCGAACACAAGCATTAACGCCCCGGACAAACAAGGATGCGAGTCATTACTGTACAATACATACATACCACACTCATTAATTTGGCTCCCATTTGTTGTAATTTCTTAGCGGCTTTGAAGTAAATTGTCTCTGCCGTATTGTAGATCATTGCATTGTTACACATCAAATTGAAATCATCCTGTATTCAAGAGAATATTTATACATAGTAAAAGCTATGAGATACAACTAAAAATCTGAAATCATCACACCCTGTACATATATCAAAGGGGGACTTGCATATATACAGTAGATTTACAGGGGATTTATTTATTTATTTATTAACACTTTGCCTTAAATTAGCATGCACTTGCCCATACTGTTCACAAAAAAATACAGATGTTTGAACTTACTTTGAATTCCTCCAAGGATGTATAAACATGAGTGTCAATCTTGTATTTCATAGTGCTGAAGTCCATTGGATTTGTAATAATACTGGAGTAACCAGGTGCTATCACATCATTCACAGGGAAGGCAAAGAATCCATTGACATCTTTCCTAAAAAAATATTCATGTACATGTCTTATTTCATGTACTATTTACAACATGGGTGTCAAGCAACTTGCGGAGTTGGCTTTGCAAGCTCTATGTCTAATATTCCAAATTTAGCAATGTAATTGGGAATATTCACAACAAACTTGAGAATCACTCTTTGTGACCAGAAATCAATAATAAGTACAACATAGTTTAAAAGAGTATCACAGGCATTATACCATTACCTCTGTAGTGTTTGATGAAGATTTGCCAGAAACAATAGCACTGGAGATGGTTCCTTGTCATGAAAGTCTACAAGTTGTAATAACAAAATTATTACATTAAGCTGTGCACAATGTTCCCAAATGCTCCATACCTTATTATTTCACCCGGCCTAAAGCCAGAAGTCGTCAAGTGAAATGATGCCTCATGTGTGCATCGTCATAGAAGGGAGGGAATTATTGATGTTTTGCAAGCAAAATTTTAAAGGCGCTTATATGATTGTGCTGGTTGCTTTAGCCACTATTATACATACCTTGGGGTTTGGGTCTTTTGTGTTCCCTTATTCTATAGAACAACATTGAAAAGTAGTAAGGATTCAGAATGGTTAATAAATGCATACAATAGCCCTGGGGAAAGTGTTGGGTGTTAACCCATTGAGCTGCAATGCGCCCCAGTGCACCCTACTTATCTTTTTAATCGTCTAATGCCAGACAATTTTACTCGTCAATTGGGAAGCCCCACAGCTTAATGGGTTAACCAAAAAATCTGACAATGTGTCTAGTGGTTAGCCCATTGAGCCACAATGCACCCCAGTGCGCCAGACAGTTTTACTTGTCAATGGGGAAGCTCCGCAGCTTAATGGGTTAATGTGGGGTTCAAAATAGAAAATAAATATAGACCTGACATTCTTTTTCGTTAGCAAGTCAAATAGAATTATTGTGTGTAACTGATTTTGAAATGAATAATATGAATTCTCATTTCTACTTGTTTGGCTTATTTTGTACATGGTCTAGTTGACTATTAACTCCATCAGCAGGAATTGAACCTGCGGCCCTGTGATTCCGGTGCTGATACCAGACTCTTGAGTACTTACTTAGGGGGCTCAATAGGTTTGATATGGATTTTTGTGATGATAGGTTTTCCATCACTGGTTTTTCTTTCCTCAATTTTGGCCTTTTTCTTTGGCTTTTCATGACTGCTTTCAACAGTGGATGAAGAATCAAAACCCTGTAAATATATTCATTTCAACATGAACCATACTTTACTATTTACTACGAAGGGCCTTTGCTCGAAACGTCGAGTTTCTGCTTGTTTTTTAAGGTAGTAATATAACCACTCAGCACAGCATTTTCACATTGGTACTACCCACACTGGTACAGACAGTTTTAGTTACTTTACTCTGTCTAACACCAGATAATTTTACTTGCCAAGGAAAAGCGCTTGTGCTCAATGGGTCAGTAATGACAAATTGATCCTGCCTTATAGTTTTTGGATATAAAGAGAAGAATATCAAGGGGTTGTAAATCAAAAGGGGTCTATCCTTCTAATATTTCCACAAATGATATTTGTATAGTTGTAAATTAAAAATGCGCACAGTCATAATTGATATCCACTTTCATGATGGAGGAAGGGGAAGGGGGGGGGGAGGTGAGATGTTGTGGAAGGTGTGCACACCACTGCATCCCAATGCTCTGTCTAATGCCAAATTAATTTATTTGTCAAGGAGAGACTGTAAAATTTTAATAGATCAAGAAGACTGATCTTGTTTTACCTAATGAGCTGCAATGCATCCTGGCTACTTTGTTATGTAAGTTACTTTTTCTTATGCAAGACACTTTTACTGCACTTGTCTGAAGTCCCCCTTATCTTCCCTTATCTAATAATAAAACATACTTGATCTTCAACACCGTCAGTATGTTTTCTTTTCTTGCGATCTTTGGATGATGATCTTTTCTTCTTCTTTTTCTTACTTGAATGCTCTTTTACTTTCTGTATGTCAGAAGGTGGGTCTCGTTCCTTCACCTTTGGTTCTGTGGGTGCCTTCTCTGTGCTTCCAACTTTTAATACTAATTTAATGGGCGGTTCTTCAGGTTTATCTGAAAAATTTAACATTTTCACTTGACCATTAGGCCCGATTTAGACCAAATACAACAATTAAGTAGGACAGAAGAACAGCATCTAATCCAATTAAGTTTGGCAAGTGATGTTGTATTATACATTATAGGTTCGACATGGGAAAATGTAAGTATATGTCCTCTCGATAATTTCCATCTATAAAACCCATCAAATGAGATGTCAACAAAATCTTGATATTTATTTGTATTTTGGCATGGTACAATTAAGTCCAACGTCTCAATCAGTTGCAAAATTTGTGCCATATTTACAGTCAAATCCTGTGTTCCGTTGCCGGCAACATTGCAATATTGTCACACAATATTGCAATATTGATCGGCTGATTGCTCTACATGGCTAAAAATGATCAGGTTGTTGTAATATTGATGAAAACAGGATTGAACAATGTTTTGCTGCCAACATTGTTCACAGTTGTCAACAATATTGAACAAATTAATATTGTTACACCCGATTCAATATTGTTGACAACTGTGAACAATGTGGGCAGCAAAACATTGTTCAATCTTGTTAAACAGCGGGCTCAGCGTTTTTACGTGTGTAGCAAATTACAACAGACTCGATCAAATTGCAATTTTTACGTGTTGACAATTTGTCAAGAGGTCGTGCTCAAATGTCAGATACCAAGCATTTGATTGGCTTGTTTT